AACACATAAACAATGGTTTATTGAGCTCTCTTCTCTTCTTTAACGTAGTTTTTAATGTGAAGATCTAATCCATAGTGCATCTTTGTGCTCTAAATCCAGCTTGAGGTTCTAAGAGGTGATGTTCAATCATATTTTGAATACGGTTCAAAATTAAATGAGAAAATATTTTGCTTGTTACGTTTAGCAACGAAATACCTCTGTAATTGTCACATAGTTGTTTTCATCTTCTTATACAGTCGAATAAGAAGGACCAAGCTCCAGTCTTCCAGCATTTCCTCATTCTTCCATACATCAGTGAAAATCTCAAACAGCCAGCGAAATTAATTCATGGCTATACGATTATTCATTCTGGATCTTCACATTAAAAACTACGTTGAAGAAGAGAAGAAAGCTCAATAAACCATTGTTTATGTGTTTTATTGATATCACAAAAGCATATGATTCTGTCAATCGAGAATTACTATGGAAAGTCTGTTTAAAGTATGGTATGTCAGAGAAAATTGTCAACCTTTTGAAAATGCTGTATAGGAACTCAAGGGCAAAGGTCAGGATTGAAGGTGAGCTTTCTGATAGTTTTTAATTGAAACAGGGGTATTGCAAGGTGGAATTCCATCTGATATCCTATTTGACTTTATTATCAGAAAAGTGGTAGAAGAAGCCGGTGTTCAGTTTTCGTATGCAAGTAATGATTTTTATCATGGTGCACGTGAAAATTATGAGAATTTCAATATTTTGGCTTTACTCTATGCTGATGATCTAGTGGCAATGTGTGAAACAGCTGACGGTCTTGAGACTTTCATACGAACTTTTGAAAAAGTTACTCAAGACTTTGGGCTGACAATGAGTGTCAAGAAAACATGTATTATGACCTTACAACAGTTCGAAGAAGATCATAACAGAAAGTTGTTAAAAGACAGAGTAGTCTTTCCTGGATTTGACATCACAATTCGGAATCAGAAGATCGAAACTGTTGACTCGTTCACCTACGTAGGATGTAGCGTAACAAGAGACCAAAGACCACTTGTACAGATAGTGAAATCAGTACAGGTCTGAGTAAAGCAGAAACGGCAGTCAATATGTTAAGACATGTGATTTGGAGCAGGAAAAGCATTTCAATCAAGTCGAGACTAAAAGTGTTTCGTGCCTGTGTTCTCCGTGTCTTATTGTATGGAAGTGAAACGTGGTCTATCCAGGCAGTCATTATTACCATTTGATCGCATTCATCGCCTCTCCGCTATTTGCGCCGATACACACATTTTCATAAACGAATATTTTAATGGACTATGAATTCTTGTTCTTTGAAGAACAAGAATATGATTTACGTTCTTCCGAAAGCTGGGGAACAAAAATTATGTTTTCTAAAGAACACGAATTCGTTTTTTGTTCTTTATAAAAATGAAGAACTAATTTTTTGAAGAACAAAAACGTGAAAATAGGCTGAAGAACATATACTCTGTTCTTCAATTTTCGAAAACACGTTCGTGTTCTTCATCATGTTCTCCAAAGAACGGAAGAACACAGATTGTTAACAGTGTGCAACATGTTAAACTAATTTGTTTTAATCTACGACATTAGCATTAATTCAGACGATTTATCAGTTGTTCCAAAATTAAAAAGAATTTCACAAAAATTTAATAAGATCTTGGAAATTGCCCAGCTGGGTTCCAATAGAAGAATTGATATTTGCAATGGTGATGTGAGAAATAAGTTTCCGCGAGACGGGGTCCATAAATGATCCAAAATAATTGGATGTATGAAATTACTTAGTCGCATTGTTTCTCGTCAAGCTCTTGCTTTAGTTTAAAACTCGTTTGTTCGATCTATTTTGCTGTACCCCTCTGTAATATACTCGGAAACCTCGGAAAAGAATTTAGCGCGATTAAGTATGCGTCAATACCAATCAGCTTTCGCGGTTAAAGGAGCTATAAAGGATGCATCTAAAGAAAAAGTATTAGCAGATTTAGGACGGCTATCGATTCACACTGTTTTTCAACGACAAAGGCTGCATTTCTTTCATAAGATTATGCGTTGTTTGAGCCCAATAATCCTTAAAAAATTCATTACTAATAATCAAATCATAAACCCATATAACACAAAGTCTGTTAGTCAACAAAGGTTGCCGATTGACTTACGTACACTCGATGTGTATGAAAGAACATTCGTATCTGAAACAACACGTTTATGGAATGCGTTGGGTTCACAGATTCGTTTATGTGCTAGCCACGCAAAGTTTAAAAACTTGTTAATAGATTCGGATAATATATTTTTCCAAGAATACCATACAGCACGATCGTATGATGGATGTATATTTCGCCAGATTAAGGGCTGGTTTTCCCTAAGCAGCGATCTTTTTGTGTGCAACTTAGTTCTAAGTGCACTTTGTTCTTGCGACATGAAAGAGGCAACGATGCATTATTTTTTTGTTTGTAAACGATATAGTACTGTGCGTGTCAGATTACTGCAACAAGTTGAAGAAATACTTTCAAATTCTTCCATTAATATTAACCATCTTCTGTTTCGTGACCTTTCACTTCGACAAGTATGTAGGACAAGGATCCGCACAAGCTGTACAGTGCTGTATGTGAGTTCATTTGTGAGGCGGACAGATTTGAGCATACCTGATGATTTTCTGTTTCTGTTTCCTGTTTACTATAATCTCTGAGTTTCGATCACCGCACATGACATCTTTTCTTTAGTTTTCTCTATTCACAGACACTTCCTCTATCACATTTAAACTGCATTACATATATGCTTCTTTTTTATTTTTAAAAAATTCTATTAGGCATCTAGCAAATAAGGAGATATCTTTTCTCGCACATGTAAGATATTCGTAGACAAATGTGTCAAATGTTTGTCTTTCTGTTTCCTTGCCGTCTAACGTGCTAACGAAAAATTCTTTTTCATGTTAAATGTGTAGCAATGTTCACACATAATATATGTTATGTGAAGAAAGATATCTCCTTATTTGCTAGATACCTATTCACCCTTTCGTATTGTTGGTATATTCTTCTCATGCGAGCATCATTGACCTATAATGCCATTTGGTGATTGGTCTACCGATAAACGCGTTTAAATTGTGTACATTTATTACACAGGAATCATTGAAGCCTGAATTAAAAGAAGCACAATATAATTCATGTAATTCTATTGCAGATAAGAAACTTGATGATTATATTGAAAGAGTCCGAAGAAAATTTCAACAACAAGACCCTATTTCACATTATATTAAAAATGAAAAATTAAGAATTAAGGGCCCCCCCTCCTCAGAAATTATCTCCGACACCGTACATCAGATCTTGACGAAACATTGAATAAATGTTCGGCTTAATGGGTTACTGAGCTTAATGAAAATTTTTTTTCTCTCCAAGTCTTACCGTTCAGGAGTTTTCCAGAGATCAGGGTCCAAAAATGACTCTGAAGTACTTCTCAAGATTCTTTAATATACTTCAGGCTGGAGAGTTCGAGTTTGTTTTGTTTTAAGCTAGACATCTAACTACATCGTCTGACCGGCACCGAATTTTCAATTAAGCCTTTGGGAGAAGTTAGATAGAATTTCACAAAAATTTAATAAGGTCTTAGAAATTGATATTTAGAACGGTAGCCTGAGAAATAAGTTTCCGCGAGGCGGTCCATAAACAAAGGGCAAAATTGAGTACAATTACTTAGATTTTGTTAAAGATAAGAATGATATGTTTATGAAGTGTTGTTCATAAGTCTATTTTAATGAAACCGATATAAATCTTTTTATCTTGTATTAACTGATCTTTCAAAACTCGATATTTCGCTTAATTTTACACATCTTAACATTGATAAAACATACATTCTTAGACTGCCGTTCATAAAACAGTAAATAATTGGATTTAGAGCGTGTGTGGATAAATATAAATAATAGATCCACAATGGTGACTTAATAATTCTTTCGGCATTCAATATCGATGGTAAATAAAAGGCGATAAATGACATGGTGATCATTAAAAATGTTGATGCCATTCGTATTTGTTTAATTCGATGTTGTTTCAACTGTCGCTTTAGAGTATCACTATTTGAATTATTCAATGATGCATGACTATTTGTTTCTTTCATTTCATCTGAACAGCTGGGAATAACTGACTGAATCTGTTGTTCACGCCGAATAAAAGCAAATGGAAATTTAGGACGTTGTAAACGGATAGTGACAAGAATTTGTCGGTGTTTACCAAAACAATTGAATTTATATTGAGTCGGATTATTGTTCTTGTCAAGATGTAAAGACGGTAACGATACACATTTTTCGTTATTGGATAAATTTTGCCTCTCAATATTGAATGAGACCGTTTTTTGTTGTTGATGTGATGCGGTAACTTCTTCTCCTGAAGATGAGGATATACTTTCTTCTATTTTTTTTCCAGCATTATTCACTTCAGTAACATTTGAATGTAATTCATATTCATTGAAACTCGATAACTCAGGTCTGTGCCTATGTGCTTTAAGACTGTCTGCCGGTATTGTCAAACGATGAGGACTATAGAATAATTGTGCACAGCACGATGTCGAGCCTGTCTGTATTGTTGCTGCATCAGTGAAACTATTCATCTGTGATACACTGTCATATCGATCATAACGATCTAAAACATTGATACTTTTTTTTAATGCCCGTAAACGTGGTGCTTGTCGTCTCAGTGCGAGAATGTATGTGATTGTATACAATACAGTGACAATTACAATGCAAAGATAAAATATTTTATTTGATACATGTTTTAGTATTTGACGAAAACCATCGGAAATAATTGTGGTATCGGCAAAACATCGTACACGTGTGTTAATAAGTTCGAATGAAAAATTTGTTATATTTAAATGTTTTATACTACTGTTGGACAAGTAAGTTTGAAGAAGTGATAGACGTAATGTTGCAATATCCTCAGAATGAAGAGGTGTACTGGAATCAACATTTGTTGATTGTGTAACGATATGATTATTACTGAGTGTGATCGTGTAGTTTGTAGCGTATGTTAACAACCATGGTTGAGATGAAAAGGCGAGTGCGGCTAATATACCGAGAAATATGGCGATTAAAATTAATATCGTCAACAATATTTTGACTAGACGTGGTGTCATAATTCGAAGGTGAGGTAAGGCAATACTAAAGAATCGGTCAAATGCAATGGCTGACATAATGAAGGATGAAACAATAATAATTATTTTTGAAAATGAATAAAAACGACATAAGGGTGTGTTGACATCAAATTCGTTATATTCCATAAAACCAATACATGGTATAACCACAGAACATGTCCATAAATCAACACAAGCCAAAATAACAATGAATGTTGTTGATGTAGATGATCCACAACGATTAAAATAAGCAAATAGAATTATGCCGTTGCCAATTGTACCAAGTACACTAACAAGAGCAAAATAAATTAGAAGACCAACGTTGTTGATCAACATCGTTGTAAAATGATAATTCGTATTGAAATGCAATTGTAATAATCATTCAGGTTTACTTTAAGCAATCTAAAACGAAAACGATACACTTCCAGATGCTATTGAAGAATTCAAAAAGAGTCATGTTCACAGACATATGTGTTTCTTGTTGCAAAGTGATTTCTGCTGAGATACAAAGTCAAGCTGTAGAATAGAAATCGATAATGGTGAATAATTTTACGGTAGAACAATAGTAGGCGCATTGGCTACCAGTATGAGACAAAAAAATAATGTTTTACGTTATTATGCTGATAACTTGACATAGAAACGTATTTATTGTCGTTGACAAGTTGACTGTTTTCATGCGTGTTAAAAAAAAACATTTAATGATTGACAGTAAAGCGAATACTTGATCTTTTCTCCTATGGCTGTGAGATTAGCATTGACACACTTAATTTTTTCATTATTACCAAATTAAAAGAAAAACAGCACCCTGATAGATGTTTTCCAGTTGACAGTTGATAATAGAAAAAGCAGTGAAAAGTTTGATCAGATGGCTAGCTTTATTGCAATACTATTGAGAGCAGGAGATACTTACTGAGCACCTTGCGGTTCTTTCCTATTTTTATTATTCTAGAGCTTTTTTTCTACTGTGGTAACCTCCATAGACAAATCTGAGAGACACATGCTAGACCTAGTACTAGTTCCTCAGTATCAATCCTCTAGACTGACTATTTCCATTGAGCCACAAGACTTAGAAAGAATAAAAATGCGAGAGAGAGACTAAAAATTCCAAGGTAAATTTAAAGAGCAAATACTTTATTGGAATAATTTTGATGAATATTGGGATCGTTGCAGTCTTTTTTGTTTACCTCTGGCTATATTCTACCATTTAAAAATCCTCCTCATAAGCAAAATGTAATAAGAAATTGTCATTAACACAAAAAAAGAGCACTTGAGGGTTAACATCTTGTTATTAAAAGAGTGTCATACTCATGACTGTTGCCGAATTCAATCAAATCTTCAATAATTACGCCGACTTCTCATCATGACATCTCATGTTGGAAAAAAGAAATTTTTACAACAACATATTTAAATATCTTATTAGTTATAAAATTGTGCAAACGTTATCCACATATTCGGACAGATCTAAATGGATGCCTATATCCATATCAGAAAATAATTAGAAAAAAAGAGAAAAATTCTAATTCTATATTTATACAACATACACTTGACATATACCTCCTTCATATCTCAGTGAACTTGTTTCACTGCTGGCATTAATGAAGTCAGAACTACGAAGATTAAAAAGCACTATTACTTCTGAAGTGTGTTAGATCAAGTATTTTGAGTGAAACATAACCAATTTTTTTCTATTCTTTCCAGCACAACACTTAATATCTCATTTCCCCTATCCCATTTATGATGAACAGATTAAATGACAGTGATACTAATATAATATAACCGTTATTCTTTCAGAATACAAGAGAAAAAATTCCATTATCGTATTATAAATTAAAACTATTAAAAAACACAAAGGTCCATTTGAAGGAATAGAGGTTTGATCACATGACCTGAATTTTGTCTCTTTTTATTCATGCATAGTTTTAGTCAAGGATAATTAACAATATTTCATAAACTGTTTAGTTATAAAAAAGTTACGTTTTTAAAGTTTATTTTTAGCTTAGCTTTCGTTGGGCTTTTTCACGGGCTGGGGACATTTCCATGGAGGAAGTCTCCCAGAGTCAAGGAGAAAGTTTTTTTCATCAACCATTGTATCTAGTTTTTTTCCGTACATTCGATTCTGTTGCTAGAAGAGAATAAAGAGTTCAGAAAGTGTACTGTGCACCCATCACTTCATCATCACTTTCATGAATGTATAATTTGACAGTCGTAATTCGCTAGAGGTATTGCTCTCTACTGTGATTTTCAAATGCTTTACTCTCTTTCAAAAAGAGAAACATCTAGTTTAAAGCACTAACATATGGCTAAACTAAAGTTATTCTGTTCGAGTTTTTAGAAGAACACACATTTTTCTCGTTTGGATTTTCAAATGAATGAATCTTCTCCTTCATTAGGAGCATAATTATCTTTTCACCACAAGCGTCGACAAGAATATTGATCTTGTCCTTCACACCACTATTTTCTCTGATATCGTGATATCTCAGATTGTCTTTTCAGATTAACAAAAGCTTATCACGCAGACATTGGAAATTTCCAAAGGAGGATGTCACCCTTTCCCTCCCCTGATCGTATGCACTAATTTTTAGAGTTATCAGTAATCATCGTCGGCAACTATTTAAATTGGAACGACGCAACCTTCATCCAAAATGCTTTAGCCTATAGAAGAACACTGACAGACTCGATTACTTAGTTATTCACATGCTGTTAAGCAAAAAGATTTTTTATGTAAGTCAACTTACATGAATTGAAATTTAGCGAATACTAGTTTTTAATAGATTTCCGCTTGATTTTTTCTTAGTTTTATGTTAGCCTAGAGAATAGATCCTTAAAGTTCACAAAACAAAAGAGAACAAAAACTGTTAACACTTCACTACATCCAATAGAGGCATTTTTTTTATTTCCGGGTTTTGATTTGGAGACTTGAGTTAAGGATGACCAAGATAAAAAGAGGAGAAGCAGCTATTAACGTGGACGAGTACAAAAATTTCTCTTGACGTAGGATGACAGTCTGTACACTAAATAGTAGATAGATATAGAATATGTCAAATTTTTCATGGAAGTCTGATGTATGATCTTCTGTCAATATTGTTCTTCATGCTTCTACCGTTAACATCTTCCTTTTCATTGTTGACGATTTTAACGTTCATGTTCCTTATAGAAAATCACACATTTCGAGATAATTTCTTTCACTGTATGTGCATTTCGAACGTTTTTTTCCTTATCAGTTTTGTGCGTTAAGATTTTCTTGTTAGAATCTAATATTCTTCCAATTTGGTTTTATGTGATATAGAAAACATCATTTATTATTCAATAGTCAAATGCGTCTTTTCTTATAAAGTGTGAAAAAGTTTGTTGTTGATCTATCTTATATATATGATCATCACGTATCGCTTTCGGTTTCGAAGTCATAAAAACATAAGATAGGTCAATATTGTTGGCTTCAAAAATGCAAATGTCGTAGTTGTCCCCGAAATTTTTTTGATGAATCTTTATCTGATACAACTAATTGATCTTGTTGACCTTTAGTAACTAACTGTCTATTAATATAATCAAAAAAGTGTCTTATCAAATTAAAGAGATATTTTTGCAAAAATATTTAGAGATATGTCACGTCCGATTTTCTAAAATCGGCATGTTTATAAAATAGTACGGACGCTAAACGAGAATGTGTATTTAACTCTCATGATCAGATGACGCTTTCACAACAAGCTGCAGTTTCTCAGCACGTTTTTATCAATGAATATTTGATGTTCATTTTAACTGTGTTCCTTGGAATTTATTAGCTTTCACTCTTGAAAAGGAAATTTTTTTGATATGACGCTGCTTTTGGTCAGAAGGAGAATTACCAACTCTAAAAAAGATTGTCTAAGTTAGTGCTACATGTAGTCACCAACGTCAGGGGCAGTGTCTGTCAGTTTTTATACACTTTCAAAGATCTGATAATGTTTGTCAAGAATAATTAGAAGAACATAAACAAAAAAGCAAAACATATGCTTCGTATAGGAGTAATTAATACAGAAATGAGTTCTGAGGCACCTCTTTTTCATGAAAATTAAAGGATCTATGAGACTTTACACTACAAAAAAAATTAGGTTTTTCTCCTGTCTAAAGAAAATTAGATTCGTACATCATAGATCGAAAGAACAAAGGATATAGAGAGAAATAGAGAATATTATACTTTTTATTTTGAATTGGATCTATACGTACACTATAATTGATTATACTCTTCTCGACCGAAAGCGTGTGATTTGATACAGAAAAAACTAGAAAGACAAATAAAACAATAATCTCAATAAAAACTGTTTGGTTCTGTTGAATTCGACACATTAGAGTGACGAATAAAGACACGATTCAGTTCTGTAACATTTTGAATAAATCTTAGCTATCTCAGATGCAAAGATGCAAAGAGAGAAATATTGTTATGAAATTTTGTATACTCTAAAACAATTCATTCTTTGTTATTAGGCTTATTGTATCTTCCTACAAGATGGATTAATGGAATTAACGGCAAATTCTAAATAGGCTAAAACAATGTTTGGAATTATCTGCTGTACACGATTTGTGCAGCAGATGTAATAAGTTAATCATCGAGTTTTTACTAGCAAACATTTTCTGATTCTTTTTATTGTCATGTAAATATTATTTACATTCTTTCTTATTCTTTCAACTTGTCTTCTTTCTTTTGTCGAATGTAATCTCAAAATATTAATTTACACCGGCAACAAGAAATATTTTCATCTTGTGAAAATAAATTATTTGTGATAATAATAATAATTTTTTGTTGGAGATAAAGTTGATTAAAACAATAACAAAACAGTAAATCTAAATAATTTCGAATTATAGAAAACAGTGTATAGTCAAACACACTTTCTCCAATGTCATAGAAAAAATTAATTAGCATCTATACTAACAACACCATACAAGGGTGACAGACGCACAGGGACAATAGACATTTATAATTAAAACTGAAAATAAAAGAAAAGTCAAAATTCAATGTATAAAATAGTTATGAATAATGCACGACATACTTTAACTTTACACAATCATTGTCGCAAGAGATGGAGAAAAACATACATGTCGTACATAACTTATTGAAAATTCATCATCCAAAGGAATAGATAAATTAAAGTTTATAGTTACTAAAAAAATAATGTGTCCTCACATAAAACCTTCTACATTAACAGTAAAACTCAATCTCACTTTCAGAAAGTCAAGTTTTCGTTTTTATAGAAAGAATTGGTTAAAGACTAACAGAAGGAAATACACATTCAAGTTAATAAAGAATCAACAACGTAAGCAATTGAATAAGAAAGACTCCAGCAAAAACACAATTCATCCTA